AGGTGGAGGCGAGCCTCGGAGCTGGGGCGTCTAGTCGCTCCTTGGTCTTGGAGAGCCTGCGGGCACCCAGCCTGCGGAGGAGCGCGAGGGTTCCGGGCTGCGGCACAGGTTTCCAGGGCAGGCACGGGCTGCGGGCCGGGCCTGTGCCGGGGAAGCAAAGAGGAAGAGTGTCGCTGGCGCACTGCAAGGTCGCGATGCCCGGGAGGAGCGCAGGGTCGGGCGCCGGCGCCTTTGCACCAGGCCCTCTCCAGCTTCCTTCAGGCTGCGCTGCCGCTGCCCGGCACAGACGCTTCCAAAGGGCCTTGCGGACCAAGCGGGCGTCTGCTTTGCGCGGGCATCCGGGCTGTGCAGGGTGTAAGAGTCCTTGGGGGTCGGGTGCGCATTTTCCTCTGCTTGGGAGGTTTTAGTTTCTCGTTCGTCTTACAGTGTTTTTGTAAAAGTCTCTGCTTCACACAGAAGGAATTCAGATTAATCAAGAGTTGGCCCTGCAGCGCCGCCCATTCTCGCAAACGTATCTGGTTCTTTTTCATCGGGTTCTGTGGTATCTGCAAATGTTGCTATCCGCGAAAGGTGAGGCAGCACAGGTGGACTTTATATTGTATTTCTGTCTTCGCTTTCCTTTCTGTGCCGCTGGAAATTCTTTGGATGAAATAGCCCCCGAGAAGGATAATAGTCGGGTAGTTTCTCTTTTGAAAAAGAGGACAGCTTGTGGGAATCTTCTTTGTCAAAAACAGATGGGAAATGTTTCGATCACGTATTTCTCTGGGAAAGAAAGTTTGGGTTGGCTGAGGACTGAAACACTACAGGGGGACAATCCATCCATTCTGGCTTTTCGTTTTTTTTTCCTGCCCAAATTATGAATGCCCTTCATTTAATTCTCCTTACCCTTTACCCCGTCCGTGGTGCGAGGACATCTGGATGATGGTTGAGCAGAGGACGAATGCCGTCCTCCTTAAACAGAGACATCCAGGGATTTGTTTAAGGAAAATGTCAACGGAATTGGCACCCAAATTATCCTCCAGAAAATGATTTTGGGGAAAAAAGCACCAGAGGATCCTACTTCAATGCAAAAATTTAGTAGGAATTTTTAAAACTCATCACATTCTACCGTTTAAAGAATCAGGCCCAGGGTCGATCTGCTTTTAAAGGCAGTCCCTGTGATCAACGGAAAGCTGTGCTAGGAAATTATTTGCAAAGACATCTGGACAATGGAATGGGTGGCACATTGGGGTGGGGGATAGATGGCCCTGTGGGCCTCTTTTCCAGATCCTTGCAGACAACGGGCTTTTTTCACATAAGCCGGTTTCTTTAAGTTGATCTACAAGAAGGGGAGGGGTGTGGGCGCTTTTGACTACTGACAACTCTCAGCATTCCTTGTCTTTATTTATCAGGCAGGTTAGACACACGTTTGGGTTCTTTCTGTTTTGAATCCAAATGATCTGAAGAGTGTGTGCCAGCGTCCTCTTTCCAGTGAGCGTGGAGACACTGATCATTGGTCTGATCACAAAGGCTGCAGCTGGCCACTCGGCCTTCCTTACTTCTCGGTGAGGTTTCTCAGAAGTTAGTTACACGTATCAGGCAGGAACTTGAGGCATGTCAGTAAATCGTTTGTGACCATAACGCCCAGTTGAGATGTTTCCACACATGTAGGAAGCTGGTTCAGACTCACGTCGGCAAGAGCCTGGGCAATGGAGCAGAGCTGGGCCGGTACTGCCCCTCACCGCCTTCCGTGCCTGGTACAGGCAGACCTGGCACGCCGCGTGGGGTGTTGCCCAACTGTGGCAACAAGGCGCACACCATGATCGAGCAGGTCGTGTGCATGTTTCGGTTCCTGGCTCTATAGGCATCTAGTAAGCGTGCAGCCGCTTTGTGGAAAAGTTTGAGACACTGTGAGGCTGAATGAAATGGGACAAGGAGACACGCAGCGGGCACACGCCATTGGGAACAGGGCGCCGATAGCCTGGCTCGACACAGGGCGGCCATAGGCCATAGGCCATCGACGCTAAATACAGTGATATCTGCGAAGTGCAGTCAGATGAGAGGGGCCGGTGTTTAAGGGCACAGGCAGACAGTCAGTCACATCTCTGGATGGGCCGCTGAATTCATCTGACTGCACAGAATTTATTCTTCTAAATATTCTCTCTAAACGCGTGAGCCTCGGGCAGGGTCAGAGCCACCTGGCTGGAGGGTGCTGGTAGGTGGCAATGATGGATTTGGCGTTTTCCCAATTCTCTGCTTTGTGATTAAAGAAAACGTGCTCCCCAACTTCTGCAACGTATGCACAGATTTCCAGCCAGTTACTCTAGCAACAGGATCCCCCCCCTTTTTTTTTGAAGAACGTTTAGTGATTTTGGAGAATGCAGGGTACAGTCCTCTCATGATCCCGTGTGTCAGCTTTTTCTTCTCTCTGAGATGGAGGTGTTTGTGAATGCTGTCTTCTGGGGGCTGGAGGATCCAAAAAGAGAAGTCACTCTCCCCGGGGAGGATCAGAAAGGCGGCGTCCCGGAAGCGTTTTTGACGGGGAAGAAGTGCAGGGAAAGGCTGAGCTGCCTGCGGTGCTGGGTCACGGCGCCGATCACGCCATCTGGCACAGGAGCTGACCCCCCTGTGGAGGGCCTCGTTCTCTGAAGTACCCAGGTTCCTCTCTTCACCCGCAGAGACAGGGCGCAGTGGCCCGCCAGAGTGGCTGAGAGGCCATTTGAAGTGTAAGACCCGAGTTTTCTGGAAGTCGTGGTATTTTCGGACACGTCTGCAGTCTGAAGAAAGCGGGTTTTCGTCATCCCTGCTTTGCAGTGCTCTGGGGAGACGGCTCTGATGCCACATTCCTCCTGCCAGGCCAGAGGTCACAAAGCACGCTCCTTCTCAGCAGATAAGTCAGAACTTCACTTTAAATCGGGCCTTAAAGAGACCAACAAACAAATGTTTTAATAAGCCGGTGTAAAAGGCTGAACTTTTATAACAGTTTTTAGGCTCTGTATTTATGTTAAGCTGCTCTCACTGCTGTCTTTCAAAACCCTGAGAGTGTACGCTGCAATGTCTGTTTATGTTTGTGTCTTTTCTTGGGAACGGATAACTGTGCAGCAGACAGCAGACAGGAAGCAAAGTGCTGCGTGAGCAGAGTGGTCACGAAGGAGGCAGGACAGTGCAAATCAGACAGGAATTAGCCAAGCAACGGGACACGGAACAGAGACACCGCGTCTAAGGTCACGGACAGGCATGGATGCGTTCCGGAGCAGGCCAAGACGTGGCAGCCGGGCAGAACCTTCCTGGAAAGAGAATCCACGTGGGCCGCAGAACGCACACACGTGATGCAACCGCCCAGAACCAGGCACACATGCACACACGCACACACGCACACACAGACTGCATGCCAGCCTGCTGGAATGGGGTGAGGGCTGTGGGCCGTGTCAGCTTCCACGTCCCGCGTGTGCTGTTCGTCCCCACTGGGCTGGGGGAGGGGCCGGCTGAAGCTGACAGGGATGCTCTGGGTGTTATCATTACCGATCTGGGTGGGAGACGGCAGTCGTCTCGACATTTCTAAAAAGTCTTTTATGAAAGAGATCCCACAGAATGTATTTTTAAAAGTGTCGCATGCAAATGAGGAAGTGGTCCGTGCAGTGACGCCTTATCTCAGCTCTGAGTGAAGCTCACACTTGGTTCTGGTGACGCCGGCCGCCTGCCGCATCGCTCTTCAGAGTGGGAGTCATTCTCAAAGTGGGTCCCGTCTGTGCGTGACAAGAGGCAGCCCGTGTAATGCTTACACAGAGCAGGAGGGACATCTCAGGAACCACAGACAGGGGTATTCATCCCTGTGTTCATACAGGAACTACTTCCCAAAGAATGTTGGGGACATAGTCCCCTGAAACCGATGCTCATTTTCTTCCCAGCTTCGAGTCTGCAGGGACCGCCAGCCCACACGCACGCTCACGGCGCTCAAGGCTGAGCTCAGTGTGGATGCTCGTGCGGGCCCAGTGGAGGTGGCCTCCAGGTGCTCACGTAGCACCCAGTGTCCCCCCAGTGTGAGAATTGCTCCCCGAGGAGTGTAGAGACTGACGTCTCAGTATTGGAGCCACACATGGTGAGAGAGAGGAGATGGAGGGAGAGATAGACAGACAGACGTGGCTATCATGTCCTAAACCCTGTCTTGGTTATTTTAAACTATTATTTGCCTTTGGAGCAGATTTTGTGTTTTGGTTCAAACCTTCTAATGCATTTAGTTATATTAAGCTGTGCTTAACTCCATGTTAAGGAGCTCAGCGGTGCAGTGGTTAAGGCACTCAGCTGCTAACCAAAAGGTCAATGGTTCAAACTCACCAGCCGCTCTGCGG